GACGGCGAGCGGCAGCTTGCTTCCCACGTCACCGTCGTGCGGGAGGCTGCCGGGGGGGTTCGCAGGGGGGGAGAGGGGCGGGGTGGCGGCGTGCAGTTGATCAAGGCACTGGGATGTTGGGGGTTTGCAGACGGGCAGGCTCCTCGTCTTCTCCCCGCCCGAGGAGAGGCCTCCCTGTACCGTCGGAAAGCCGCGATCGTGCAAGATTGAACGATCCACGTGGTGTGAGAAACCCAACGCCGACGTCGACACGACAGAAATTTGCCGTATACACCAATCCAGGGATCCGGATTGACCTGGACAGGACCAGGATTGGCATATACACCGATCTTGGACACAGGATGGGAGGATAGGGGTCCAAGTAGGAGGGGGAGGAGGAGGAGGCGGAGGATGATGAGGAGGAGAGAAAGGGCTGCTAAGTATGCTACGTGCTCAAAGGGTCCATGAACGCATCATTGGTGATGAAGCGATCATCAGATAATCACTGGAGACGCACTGGGATACTTGTCCATCGTTGTGCCAGGACGCAGTGGGATTAATTCCCAGCAGTTTGCCCAATGTTAGGCAACACCCTTAACGGGATGGGCAGGGCCAACGCCGTATCTTCCGTTGTGGGGATCATTTCCCATTCGGGAGAGGCACCCGTAGCACCTATGCTGCGAGACGGTCACTCGTCAAAGTCGACATGCTCGTAGTCTGTCCCATTCGGCGTGTGTTCCAGAGGCCCCACCATTAGATTCTGGCGTGCCTCGAGTGAGCACTGGGACTGAGTCTTCCCAGTTTGCTTTCAGCTTTCATTGGGGTGGAGCGTTCCCATCCTCGTCGAGTCCGTGCAGTCACTAACAGGACAGCACGCGCGTCCCTTTTCCCACGTGCACTGCCACGTGTTTTCCTTGGTGTTGGCAACCGCCGGGGCTCTGCGCAATCGGCTGCCGAACAGAAAAGAGGAGGGAGGAGGGATGGAGGAGGAGGAGGAGGAGGTAGCAGGGAGGAGGGAGGGAGGATTAATGATGATAGTGATGATGATGCTGATGATGATGGTGGTGGTGGTGAATAATGCTGTTTTGATGGTGATGATGATACTGAGGATTGATGATGGTGGTGGTGGATTATGATGGTGAGGGTGATACTTCTGATGCTTATGATCGTGATGATGCTGATGATGCTGATGATGATGAATACGATTGTGATGATGATGGTGGTGATGATGATGGAAGTGATGATAATGACGATGTTGATGCTGATGCTGATACTGATGCTGATGATGCTGCTGATGATGATGCTGATGATGATGATGACGATGGCGATGACGATGGTGATGATGCTGATGCTGATGCCGATGATGATGCTGATGCTGTTGATGATGATGCTGATGATGACGATGACGATGTTGCTGCTGATGATGATGCTGATGCTGCTGATGATGATGATGCTGATGATGATGCTGATGACGATGATGATGTTGATGCTGATTATGATGATGCTGGTGATGTTGATATTGCTGTTGCTGTTGATGATGGTGATGTTGATGATGCTGGTGATGCTGATGATGATGCTGATGCTGATGCTGATGATGGTGATGATGATGATGATGCTGATGCTGCTGCTGCTGATGATGATGACTCTGATGATCATGGTGATGATGCTAATGATGGTGACGATGATGAGGATTATTATTCTGATGGTGATGATGATGATGTTGTTGATGATGATAAGGGTGCTGATGATGGTATTGCTGATTATGATGCTGCTGCTGATGATTATGGTGATGCTCATCCTGTTGTTGTTGTTGTTGTTGTTGTTGATGATGATGATGATGATGATGATGATGATGATGATGATGATGAGGAGGAGGAGGAGGAGGAGGAGGAGGAGGAGGAGGAGGGGGAGGAATTGGAGGCGGAATGAGGGGGGACGGGGGATGCTTGTTTTGACTGGACGCGGGCGTTTCGAATGCATGCCTTGTCGGAGGGAGGGCGGAGGAGGGAGGAGTGGAGGTGAGGGAAGAGGAGGGAGGGAGGACGAGGGGGAGCAGGAGGAGGAGATAGAGGAGGGGCAGAGAGAAGAAGGATCGTGGGGAGGGGCAGCAGGGGAAGGGGGGGGAGGAGGAGTGGGATCTAAGGCGGGGAGGGGGAGGGAGAGAGAGAGGACGGCCTGGCGTGGTCGGGGCCGGTGCCGGTGTGCATGGCGCCTCTCTCCGGCGCCCTTGCTCTTGCCTGGGCGGCCCGGCGCGCGGCAGGGGGGACGGCTCCGTGGTCCAGGAGCAGATCGCCCTGAAGAGCAGGAGCACGCCTGCCCTCCCCGCCTGCTGCGCTGCTGCTGTTCCTCTCGACTACACGTAAGAGTGACCCTTCGCCGGAGTGACCTTTGGTGCTGGCCCAAAGGGTGTCGGGAGATTTTTCTTGTGGAATGAGCTTGACTTCGCGTCGGCATCCGCATCGCGTGATTACGCTCGCATCTGAGCGCGCCAGGCTTGGGCCCACCCTTGCAATCGACAGCAACGCATACGCGTCGAACCACACAGTTTGCATTGGTTACCCGAAGGGGAGCCGGTCGACCAGACGGCACGTTTTCTGGCCCAGGACCAGTCCCGAATCCCAGCCCACATCCCAAAATGTGTGGTTGAATATCTTTGGATATCTTTGAATATCTTTGAATACTTTTGAATATAGTAGAAGATTTGTTCGAACCGATGGGGACCTTTACTATTATAAGTTACCCAAGTATATTCGAGTATGTTCCGGGCTCTCGGATGGGGCCGGTTTTGGATCATGGCGCCGGGCTTGGTCAGACGCCATCGCGATGCAGCCCGGCACTGCCAGACCTCATCGCGGTGGCCCCCGGCAGCGTCTGCTTTTCGCGGGCCTTTTTGAAGTGCCATTCGGGGCGCTCGAATTCAATCGGCGGAATTCCGCGGTTGCCCGCTGGCGGACAAATTTTTCGAGTGGCGCCCCGCCGATCGTTGATGCGGCGCGGCAACGCCAGCTTGCGCGATTGCGTTGGGCCCCCAGGGGCGCCCCTGAAACCGCGCGCCAAAGGTCACTCTAGCCTAGGGTCACTCCTACGTGTAGTCGATCCTCCTCTCTCCGAGGGAGCTGCAGGCCTGCCGTGCACACTCGCTTCTGTGTTGTGCGGCTCGACGAGGTCCAGGCGCGACGGGGTGATGGGGTCCCCCGTCCCCTCTTTTGTGAATTGCAGTGTGCATAGTGCTCGGTCTTCTCCTTGCGTTTCTTTTCCAGGCCGACGATGAGCCTTCGATCCAGATCCAGATCCACATCCACAGCCTTTCTCGTCGATCACCATGGGGGAAGTGGGTCCTGAAGGAAAGGGATTTGAGGTTCTTCTCCGTTTTCGGGCTTTCGGGGCCTTGCACGGGCCCTGGGACTGTCAGAACACGGCTCAGGATGAAAAAATCGTCCCGGGGGAAGGCACCAGGGTCCAGGACCCGTTTCCCTGAGGACCCGTTTCCCGCATGCTACGTCGATGATCTGCAGGACGTGTTTTGGCCCAGTGCGTGCTTTACCCCGTTCAGCTCCAATGCTGGATCATTACACCGCCTGCGTCGTATTGAACGGCGTTGACGGACAAGCACACGTTGGCGTTGACACGCGCTTTGAGGATCATCGATCTCGGCAACACCCAAGCATATGCTCTACTATGTGTGCGTCGCCGCCGTAGCTGCGATGCGCGCGCTCAGGCAACTTATCGTGCAAACTCAGTCGTGGGCGCCATACCGCTGGGTATCGGCCTACTTTCGTACGGTTGTGTTATAGGGTCTGATCGGGCGGGCGCTTCCAAGGAGGACGCACGGCATTCGTGTTCAATCCTCAGGTCGGGCGAGAATTGCTGCATGCAGTTGGTTTCGGCTCCCCCGCCCTGCAGTTTCCCCGATGGAATGGTCCTCCTCACCCCTTCGCGCCCGAGTCTGGCGTTCGAGGGTCGAGGCTTGGAGTTTTTTTTTTTTTTTTTTTTTTTTTTTTTTTTTTTTTTTTTTTTTTTTTTTTTTTTTTTTTTTTTTTTTTTTTTTAATATATATATATATATATATATATATATATATATATTCAGAGATATATATATATAAACAAATGCTGGCTCTTGGCGGTTTTCTCGCTTCGGGACGCCTTCCAGCGGCTGCGCATCGCCGAGTGCGTTCGGAGGGTGCCCGAATCGTCCCGAACGACCGCTCCTGGGCCGGGTCGTGATCCGAAAGCCTTCCTTCACGACGGCACGTTCGCGCCGCGTCGGCTCGGTGACTACACCAGCGCGGACGTTCAAGGCTGAACGCCGCCAGTGGTCCTGCATCGGAGGGTTTGTTAGAAATCCGCGATCGTCAGGGGTTCAACTATCTCCTTCTTACTTAACCCCTCCACCTCCTGACCTCCCTGCTTCCTCCTCATAGCTTGTCGAAGTTTTGGGGTGCTTTCTTGCCATTTTCGGGCCGGCAGGAAGCTCATCGTCGCCATGGGTGGATCCACCTCGAAGCTCTGGCCAGAACGGACGCATGTGGGTTATTTTTTCCCTACGATCCCAGACCCTCTCGCGCCGTGAAAGGATGACGTCGGGAGGTTTTAGGCCTGGTTGGCTTCTGGGAACCCGCTCTTGGCCACGGCACAATCAGAGAGCGGCTCGGGATGAAACGCTTATCCTGGGAAGTGTAAGGTTCTAGAGGTCGGCTTCTGCCGGCTCCTTCCCGCCTTCCCACCGAGACGGGGATTTATCCATAACCACCGCCTGGGGGATCGATCTTCGCGGACTTCCACATGCGGCGGATACGGATATATTCGAGCCCCTGGGGCGCAACACACACATATATACATATACATATAACGGCGCACCGGGTTCGGGGGCCCGGGGCTGGGATCCCGACCGCAAATGTGAGCCCCGGGGGGCCCGGAGGCTCGTCGGACCGCCGGACGCCGTCCAAGATCGTTCGCAGGCGGCTTCGGAACGCGCTCCGATGGCTCCAGATGCCTTCCAAGACGCCTGTCATGACACCAAGAAGGTCCCAGAAGCCTCCAAGACGCTCCGAGAGGCAGCCCAAGAGAGGCCCAAAAAGCAAAAATCGTGCCATTCCTATGGGAAAACGTATATTTTTCGCATGTTCGCCTCTTGGGCTTTCACCGCGTCCAAGACGGCCCAAGAGGCGCCCAAGACGGTCTACGAGGCCTCCGGGAGCGCTCCAAGGCTGCGCACGAGTGGCCCAGGACGGCCCCAAGACGGCCCAAGAGAGCCCCAAGACGAGTTCGAAGGAGAAAGCCCAGACGAATTCCGAGCTTCCGGCCCAAGAGGCTCCAGGAGGCGCCAAAATGCCGCCAAGAGGCGCCAAAAGGCTCCCAAAAGCACCCCAAGACGTTCCGAGAGGCACCCCAAGAGAGGTCCAAGAAACAAAATTCGTGCCATTCCTATGGGAAAACGTATATTTTTCGCATGTTCGCATCTTGGGCTTTCACCGCGTCCAAGACGGCCCAAGAGGCCTCCAAGACGGCCTAGGAGGCCTCCGGGAGCGCTCCAAGGCTGCGCACGAGTGGCTCAGGACGGCCCCAAGACGGCCCAAGAGAACCCCAAGACGACTTCGAGAGGGGTCTCCAGAAGGAGAAAGCCACTCTCGAATTCCGAGCTTCCGGCCCAACACATCCCAGGAGGCGCCAAAACGCCGCCCAGAGGCGCCAAAAGGCTTCCCAAATCAGCCCAAGACGTTCCGAGAGGCACCCCAAGAGAGGTCCAAGAAGCAAAAATGGTCCCATTCCTATGGGAAAACGTATACTTTTCGCATGGTCGCCTGTTGGGTTTTCACCGCGTCCAACACGTCCGAAGAGGCTCCCAAGACGGCCTAGGTGGCCCCCAAGAGAGTTCCAAGACGGTTCACGAGGCGCCCAGGACGGCAAAATTGGATTCCAAAATGGCTTAAGAGAGCCCCAAGGCGTGCCCGAGAGGGGTCCCAGAGGGAGAAAACCATTGTAGAATTCCGAGCTTTCGGCCCCAAGAGGCTCCAGGAGGCACCAAGAGAGCTCCAAGAAGCCCCCACGAGAGACCCAGGACGCCCCAAGAGGCTCCAAAGGCGGCCCAAGAGAGCCCCAAGATGGGCCCGAGAGGGGCTCCACGCAAGTTGTTATTGTATGGCTCGGGAAAGGACGAGGATGAGGAGGAAGACGAGGAGGAGGAGGAGGAGGAGGAGGAGGAGGAGGAGGAGGAGGAGGAGGAGGAAGCACACTGCCTACACAAGGTCCTTCATTGCCTACACGAAGGACACATTCAGACACCAGCTCAGCACCGACCGCAACCAGTATTTCAAGGACCTTGGTACCAAGCTGGCAGACAGTAGAACAGCACGAGATGCCAGGACCGAGTGGCAGCTGACCAAGAAAATCCTGATTCACGGTGGCCGCAAGCCAAAGTACGACAGCGCGCTACCTACCATGCAGTACCCCGACGGCACCACCATGGGCAGCCAGAGCGAGATCAGCCGTGCCACGCTCCAGCACTTTGCCAATATCGAGTCAGCAGTGATCAGGGACAGGTATGACCTCACGGACCGCTACAACAGCAGCCACATTGGCAGGTCACCGCCCGACGAGGTCTCGCAGCACATGCTCATGACACGCAATGACCTGGTGGAGAGCTTTGCGGACGGCAAGAAGGGTCGGACAGGAGGGCCTAACAGCAACCTGGATGACATCTTCAAACTCGCGCCCGAGGAGACGGCCCGCCATTGGTATCCTGTCATTCTGAAGACGATCATGCGTGGCCGCGAACCAATCCAGTTCAAGGCAGGCATTGCAGTAAAGCTCTACAAGGGCAGCGGCACGAGGTCTCTACTGGAGTATTACAGGTCGATCCTGCTCAACAACACAGTGGCCAAGCACTACCACTAGTGGCTTCGCTCAACGACGTTGAGGGTCTGCAGTTGTTTACTACGAGTCACCCAGCACGGCGGAATCCCGAATAAGTCTGGGGCGTACTCCACCCACTCCACCAAAGTGTTCTTCGGGATATGCAAGCGCAAGCGCCTCAGCGCCGTCGGCATCCTGCTAGACCTCCGGCAGGCCTTCTGCTCCGTCATCCGCGAGTTCGTCCTGGGGGGGGGGGGGGGGGGACAAGCCGTGGCTTCAACAGGTTATGGCAGGCGGTGACCAGCCAGAATGGCTCATGCCTTCCATCCAGCACCTGATTGCAGCCCCAGGCTACTTAGCGCTCAGCGATGTCGACGAGAACCTCCGATTCCAGCTGGAAGAGGCACGCGACGCGACCTTCTTCCAGGCGCGCGGGGGCGAACTATGCGCGGA